AGTTGGGCAGCGCCTGAAACATGTGTCGTTCAGGTTTTTGCTGGTGTACCCAAAGTGGCCAAATTCTTATGTCAACCATGTGCGATTGAACCCTTTTTTGTCTCATTGTGAGGGGTGGCCCAGAACAACATCCTGAAAGGTTGGTACTGCATTTTATCACAGAAACAACTGCAGAATCTCCGCGCCTGTTGGCGAGCGTGTTGGTGCTCCAGCTTCCTGGCACAGGCAGCTAAAATGCACCAACCGCTTGCTGTGAAGGCCACTCGCAACTCAGCTGCACGCCTTGTCAGAACAACTGCAAAATGGAAGAGCAGGATTCGCCTGGGCACTGGCAAGAAACCGGCCACTGTTTCTTTTTCATGATTTTCCCATCTTTGTCCTATGACGATCAGACCACTGAGACCCACGCCAGTGCAAAGCCTGCAGCCTGGGCTCGCTGGGATGAAATGCATCTGCGTTGCAATTAGAAGGGGACTGCGCAATTGCACGGCGCTTCCAGCCCAAGGCGCGCACAGCTTTTAGACAAGAACAGCGAGCCAAGGTTTGCGTGCGATCGAAACTTGCCTGGTTGCCAGGTGCTGTCTTGTGAAATTCCGTGTGTGCATAACTTTACACACAAAAATACATTGTCAAGCTGGGATCTGATCTCAATTCCTCCTGTGACAAAGGCGCAGTTCTGATTGAAGGCAATCCTTCCCAGCTGATCACTTACTGTGAGATCAGTCCCTTGTGTGGGCTCAGAGCGATTCCAAAAATTGCAAAGGCAGTTTCGGCCTAGGAGTGCATGTCCAACCACTCCATCGGAACGTGCGGGTACTTGAAATTGAAGGCTTCCTCAAGCCGAGAGAACCTGCCAGGGATCCAGGGCACAAACAGGAAATCACGCCACTTCCACTTGCGTTTGGAACACCACAAACTTTACGTGTCATGCACTGGAATTTCGCAACATCTTGCCAATCTGAGCCAAGAGTCTCTGATTGATGGGATTGCCACACATGCTGGCACAAGGGAATGCGGGTTCGAGCCCAATCTGCTCTACTTCGGCCACAGTGAAAGCATCTGCCCTCTAGCGTGCAGGATCTGACAAAGTCGATTCCATCTTCTGCAGGCTTGAGCACCACATCTTGTACGTCTTGTGAAGGATTGGCCAAACGGTCGCGCAAGGCCTCTGCAAGCAGCAACTCAAGCTCGGCAACCCGCTGCTCCAACATCCTCACCCTCTCCTCCAAAGGGATTGCCACGGTAGTGCAAGGGCCACCATCCTTTGAAGCTGGCGTCTCCGCTTGCACGAGGAGCAGGTGGTGGCGGCACCTTTGCTGGTGGACCCGTGGTTGTAGCCTTGGGGAGCCCACTGGGCGGAGCTCCACTGTCTTGGGCATCTTGGGCGTCAGCCTGGCCACCATCCTGGGCGGCCGAGTCGTCCCAGCCACGCCCTTGGCCGTTCCAGGCTGCCTGGTCCCAGCTGCCCCACGATGCCATGTCTGAACAGTGAAGGGCCGACAAACCTTTCCAGCCAAAAGGGAGGACAGCATCAAGATATGAAATGCACTTCTCCCAACTAGGCCCATGTCTGCAGTTTAACCAACAAGAAATCAGCGATGAGCACCGAGGGCTAGACCGGCTCGTTCTGGAGCGGCTGCCTCCGTCACACACCTGGAAGGCGCGGGCAAGTTGCGACACGGACATGACAAGCCACTAGCTGCAACGCACTTGCAGTCAGACCTGAACTGAAGCAGACGAGAGACTCTGGGATCCTGGCTTGTGATGAGACAGGCCACAGACAGGCCACAGCGTTGCTGGCGGTAACCCTGAAGCGCAACGAGCAGTCTAGATTGCACGTGCCAACATGTTGTAGTCAGACCTGCACTGCAGCACGCACCATGACAAGCCACTCGCTGTGACATAGACGTGACGAGACTCTGGGATCCTGGCTTGTGACCACCACGTTGCTGGTGGTAACCCTGCGGCGCAACGAGGACTCTAGATTGCACGTGCCAACATGTTGTAGTTAGACCTGCGATATAGCCGCTGTAGGACGCGCCATGACAAGCCACTCGCTGTAGCACAAAGGTGACGAGGCTCTGGGATCCTGGCTTGTGACGAGACAGGCCACAGCGTTGCTGGCGGTAACCCTGAAGCGCAACGAGCAGTCTAGATTGCACGTGCCAACATGTTGTAGTCAGACCTGCACTGCAGCACGCACCATGACAAGCCACTCGCTCTGACACAGACGTGACGGGACTCTGGGACCCTGGCTTGTGACCACCACGTTGCTGGCGGTAACCCTGCGGCGCAACGAGGACTCTAGATTGCACGTGCCAACATCATGTTGTAGTCAGACCTGCACTGCAGCACGCACCATGACAAGCCACTCGCTGTGACACAGACGTGACGAGACTCTGGGATCCTGGCTTGTGACCACCACGTTGCCCTGCGGCGCAACGAGTTGTTGTAGTTGCACTGCAGCACGCACCATGACACGCCACGAGCTGTGACGCAGACGTGACAAGACTCTGGGATCCTGGCTTGTGATGAGACAGGCCACCGCGTTGCTGGCGCGGCAACGAGGACTCTAGATTGCACGTGCCAACATGTTGTAGTCAGACCTGCACTGCAGCACTGCAGCACGCACCATGACAGGCCACTGGCTGTGACACACACGTGACGAGACTCTGGGATCCTGGCTTGTGATGCGACCGCATCACTGCCTGCAGCAAGGTTCGAAGCATTGTGTGTGCCAAGAGAGAATCAGCACTGTAAGTCACAGCAAGCCAGGCAAGCCCAAACGACCTTTTTGGCTGCAGACATTCTCTGTAGGCTTTACAAGGAGCCGTGTGGACAAACAACTCAGCGATTGCTCCTTCTCTGTCTTCTGTTTGTTGGCAATGGAGCATTCAGAACATTTGCTTCAGCCCAAGTGATCTCCCTGCCAGGGCAATCAGAAATTCTTTTGGCAAGGTCTATCACCAGGAGCGGCTGGAAAAAAAGGCCCTTCAACACAGGCCTCAGCGCCAAGATGCGCGAAGCATGCCACGTAATCAATCGTAAACACGCATGCCAGCTGCTGAGCTGACAGCCGGTCGTCCACATAAGGCGGGTCATGGTGGGAAAGCTGGACAGTGACAATGAACTGGGCCAAAAAGCGCCGAAGCTGCGCATCACATCTTCAAGGAACCTGCCTTGCCAATAGTCATGAACATCTGCGGCACCGGCAGCTGGTCTCCTCTGCGGCGTTGCTCACTTGCCTATGTCAGATTGTGGTGTCTCACATTTGACAACACACCGCGCCTTCTGAACCAGGAGTTCTATGATCTGCCTGACACATGTGTGCAACGTGAGACAAAATGCCTTACGCGATCTGAGGGCCTGGCACCAAGGTGGGGTCCACGTTGCAAGTCGGGCAGTTGGCCACCCACCCATCCCCTGACCTGTCAGCAAACAATGCGCTGGCCTGACACGTTGACTTGACTTTGGACCTCCAAGACCCTGGCCGCACCAATTGGACGCTGGACAGCAAGTCATGCTCCGCAAGTTGCACCCAACGAGAAAACCTTGGGCAGAGGCAAGAAACAAGCCGAAAAACAGAAAAGTCTTTCAGCCCCTGGCAAGTCACCTGCTGGACAAGCCATTCCCAGCTGCTGCTGGAAATGCCATTCGAGGTTCTGCGCCCTCAGCAGCAAAGCAGAAGGTTAGCAACGCAAGGGAAGAGCAAGATTCACTTGGGCGCTGGCTCGCTCATGAACAGGTTGAGACGATCAAAATCAACCACCCTCCCAAGGCTGCTCATGCTTCCCTCCCACGGTTTGATTATGTTTGACCGCTCTTGGCTGCGGCAGGCTGGCAAACAACTGGATTAACTGGAGCGCGCGCCGCGTCACCCACGCCACCAGCCTGAGACATCCAGGTCCAGGCTGGGACGCCTCAAGCAAAGACACAGCCAGAACCAAACCTGTTTGACTGCCACATGCAGTTCAGCTCACTGTGGGCCTGACCTGGAATGAGACAGGCCACCAGCGTGTCGTTCTGACCTGGAACATGCAGCTAAAATATGCTAAAATGCACCAACCGCTTGCTGTGAAGGCCACTCGCAACTCAGCTGCACGCCTTGTCAGAACAACTGGAAAATGGAAGAGCAGGACTCGCCTGGGCACTAGAAACCGGCCACTGTTTCCTTTTCATTATTTTCCCATCTTTGTCCTATGACGATCAGACCACTGAGACCCACGCCAGTGCGATCAGACCACTGAGACCCACGCCAGTGCAAAGCCTGCAGCCTGGGCTCGCTGGGATGAAATGCATCTGCGTTGCAATTAGAAGGGGACTGCGCAATTGCACGGCGCTTCCAGCCCAAGGCGCTCACAGCTTTTAGACAAGAACAGCGAGCCAAGGTTTGCGTGCGATCGAAGCTTGGTTTTGACCTGGTTGCCAGGCAGACTGCACGTGCCAACATGTTGTAGTCAGAATTCCAGTGA